TCATTTTCGGACCTGACCTAGCACTAAAGGTCATAGGCATTTATGCAGCAAAAATCATATCATAGAGAGATAATTGTTTTATATCACAATGACACACATTTTTTTTACAAGAACTGCCAATAGATGATGGCAATTTCCATTAACAAATAAAAAAAGCAATCAAAAATATATTTTTGCTTGAAAACCATAACATTTGATTAGATGATACCAAAAAAATGCCATTGATTAGCGTCATCCAATTATTAATCTAAAAATAAAAAATTGTATCAAAATAAAAATAAAGTCAGGCTACATTGTTTTGCATAAAATACACCCACACAAAACCATTTATATTTTTCAAAAAAAAAAAAAAAAATATCAATATTATATAAGGGCATAATGCAGTTTGTTTCTTTGATATTGTTAGAGAGAGAGAGATAGGGACCAGGGTAGGGGCGAAAAAGAAGAACACGTGAAAATGGCAAAAATAAAAATATGATGAATCATTCTGAAAATTGTAATAAATAGCTGCGCCTTAAGTGAATAGGAAAAACTGAGATATGCCACAAGAGGCGTACGTGACCAGAAATATAATTCAATATTTGCTTGAATCATAACCTTAGACAATAGTATTATTAAAAAAAAAACGTCTGCTTTAAAGGGTGATCTTTGAAAAGAAAAGGAGATGAGATCTATTTGATCAGGGAGTTGCATTTTCAGACATTTTGTAGGAATTATAGAACTACATAAATATTTAAATTTAAAGGGTCAATTTAAATTGATATTTTAATCGGATATAGTTTTTATACTCTACACCACATAGGGGTAAGGGTATTATGTCTTTGTGCATTTGTTTGTAACATGGAGAAGGAAGCGAGATAGACCCATATTTACATTTGAGGATCATAGAATCACTTTCTGTGTCGATTTATGTATGTCAGTCCGTCCGTACGTCCGTCCGTGTATTCTTGTGAACAAAATTCAGGTCGCATTTATTATCCGATTGAGATGAAATTCTTCAAACAATATTTGTTTGACCCAAGGACGAACCCTATTGAAATAGGTGATAATCGGATCAGATTTGAATATAGCTCCCATATATATCTTCAAACGATTTCTGGTTAATTGTGCACCAAATGGCCAATATACGTCTAAATGACCTGAATTTTGAGACATCCAACCGAATTCAGTCTAGAAGTAAGTACATCAAATTTGGTGAAAATCGGTTCAGTTATAACTATAGCTCCGATACATAGGTTTCATCCGATTTGGTTTTTAAGTCATTTATATTCTCTTTCGTGATAGTTTATTAAGACATCTCGGGGAAATATATCATATTTAGAATATAGATTTATATTATTTTGGTCATTCGCAAATGAATTGGATTTCTTATCTATTTGACGTAAATTCTTTGGAACATACACAAAATTATTTTGTTTCCAAGCTCAAAATGTCTTTTTTCAACTCAAACCAAAAACCCTGGTGGTTTTTTGATAAATTTACAAATATTTTAATGAAATCAAGCCATTGCGGAAGAAAGTGGGCTTGAGAAAGACAGTTAAACTATTATGATATCAAAGACACCTCTACGAAAGTTCGAATCATGGTTTTTGAGGAGAGCTATTAAAATCATCAAAATACCGAATATAGGGAGGTACCATTACATGGGGGCTATACGAAGACGTGGACCTACACAGACAAATTTTTGCCATATGCAGTAGCATCCATTACAAACTTCAAATACCAAATATGAAACAATTCCGGTGAATAAAGTCGCTAAAATCGTCAAAATACCGAAAATCGGGAGGTGCCGTTATATGGGGGCTATACGAAGGCGTGAACCTGCACAGATAATTTTCTGCCATAGGCTGTAGTATCTATTACGAACTTCAAATGCCAAATTTGAAACAATTCCGGTGAATAATGTCGCTAAAATCCCCAAAATTCCGAAAATGGAAGTTACCGTTATATGGGGGCTACACGAAGATGTGGACCTGCACAGACAATTTTCTGCCATAGGCTGTAGTATCTATTACGAACTTCAAATGCCAAATTTGAAACAATTCCGGTGAATAATGTCGCTAAAATCCCCAAAATTCCGAAAATGGAAGTTACCGTTATATGGGGGCTACACGAAGATGTGGACCTGCGCAGACAATTTTCTGCCATAGGCTGTAGTATCTATTACGAACTTCCAATAACAAATTTGAAACATTTCCGGTGAATAATGTCGCTAAAATCATTAAAATACCGAAAATAGGGAGGTACCATTCAATGGGGGCTATACAAAGACGTGGAACTGCACAGACAATTTTTTGTCATATGCTGTAGCATCCATTACGAACTTCAAATACCAAATATGAAACAATTCCAGTGAATAATGTGTCTAAAATAGTCAAAATACCGAATATCGGGAGGTGCCGTTATATGGGGGCTATACGAAGACGTGGACCTGCACAGACAATTTTCTGTCATAGGCTGTAATATCCATTATGAACTTCAAATGCCAAATTTGAAACAATTCCGGTGAATAATGTCGCTAAAATCCCCAAAATTCCGAAAATGGAAGTTACCGTTATATGGGGGCTACACGAAGATGTGGACCTGCACAGACAATTTTCTGCCATAGGCTGTAGTATCTATTACGAACTTCAAATGCCAAATTTGAAACAATTCTGGTGAATAATGTCGCTAAAATCCCCAAAATTCCGAAAATGGAAGTTACCGTTATATGGGGGCTACACGAAGATGTGGACCTGCACAGACAATTTTCTGCCATAGGCTGTAGTATCTATTACAAACTTCAAATGCCAAATTTGAAACAATTCCGGTGAATAATGTCGCTAAAATCCCCAAAATTCCGAAAATGGAAGTTACCGTTATATGGGGGCTATACGAAGACTTGGACCTGCACAGACAATTTTTTGTCATATGATGTAGCATCCATTACGAACTTCAAATACCAAATATGAAACAATTCCGGTGAATAATGTCGCTAAAATCATTAAAATACCGAAAATAGGGAGGTACCATTCAATGGGGGCTATACGAAGACGTGGAACTGCACAGCCAATTTTTTGTCATATGCTGTAGCATCCATTACGAACTTCGAATACGAAATATGAAACAATTCCGGTGAATAATGTCGCTAAAATCATCAAAATACCGAATATCGGGAGGTTCCGTTACATGGGGGCCATTCCAAAACTTGGACCTACATGGCCCATTTTCAATGCCAAAAGTCCTATGGACATAATATACATTTGAGTAAAATTTTATCAACTTACTTCGTATCGTTGGGAAGATAAAGTGATTTCTACAGACGGACGGACGGACATCGCTAAATCGACATAGAATTTTATGCTGATCAAGAATAAATATATATACTTTGCGGGGTATAAAATGTATATTTCGATACGTTACAAATGGAATGACAAACTTAATATACCCTCCATTCTATGGTGGAGGGGAGGACCATTGAAGTCCACTTCACATCTGATATAAATATTACGACGTACCAGGTTCGGACTATATCGAATCCGCCACTATAAAGTGATAGCAGATATGAGTTTTTTTTTTGTCTTTGAAAAATGTTGAAGTGTTTTTGGAGGGAATCTCATAAAGAGTGGACCGGTATATACCATATTTACATTGGATCTACGGTCGATAGAAATATTAAGATGCACGAAGTTTGAAGCAAATCGCAGACCTTTTTTCGTATGTATTTACAATTATAATTATTCCAAAACTTGATCCCTTAGGAGAGGAAGGGATAAGAAGGAGTGGCCCAACTAGATCCCATATTAATATCAGACCTTGTATTGCTAGAAATATTAGCATGTGCCAAGTTTGAGAAGAATCGGATGTTCATTTTGCATTTAGAGTGGGTTAGGGTATTCAAAATGTTTACCCGTGGTGGGGCATAAAACCAGTAGGAGTGGTCTGATCTTATCCAATCTTTATTCAAGATCAAGAATTGGATAAAGTATTTGGAATATACGCTCATTATGAGGATAATTCATTTTTTTTGTGAAGGAGGTATCAGGATTATTGGTCCGATCTATTGCATATTTACAACAGAATTTGTGTTGGTACAAATGTTGGGATATGCCAAGTTTGAAAAGTATCAAATGCTCGAATTGCATTTTGTGAGGGATATTCAAAGTTTTGGTCCTTTGTGGGGGGAGGTGCCAGAAGGAGAGGTTCATTTTCATATCAGACGTAGAGGTAGAAGAAATATTGGGATATATGAAATTTGAAATTTTGTTGTGAATATTAAAATGTTTGCCCTTTGTGAGGGTGTAGATATTGTCCATTTTCGCACCTGAACTAGTTGTGATACATATTGCAAAGTATGGATCGAGCGAACCTTTTTCTTTCTACGATGTAAAATATTTTCTTTGAAAATTTGATTTTGGCGGAGATACCTAAATGACAGATATTTCACAGCTTCGATCTCAATCTAAGTTTAATTATAATCAGGGCTGTCACAGAAACCATGTCGGTTTTGCTTATTGTCGTTTTTTTAAACCAATATTGGTTTCATTTGGTGTCATGAAACCAAGTTGGATAAAATCGGACCAGCCAAATGTCGTGAAAGGGATTTTGTCCAAAAAGACCTGGGGTCTAAAACCGTTATTTCGATCAGACACATTTTGGCCGCACCAAATAATATATATACCCTCTGTAGCCAAGCGTTTCCCCTTCAGCTAAAACAAATTGTGTAACACGCCTTAAAGTATGTTATAAAAATGCTGTTTGGTTTGGTGCTCAAACAGCACAGCCCAGTTACTTCAACATCGTTTGAAAAATAGTAGTTATCGTTCATTCAAAAAGCTAAGCCTAAATTGCCTAGTTGCTCTGACTTCGTTTTCAAAAATGCTTTGTAAAATCTTCAAAGAACAATCAATCAATTCCTTAAGTTTTGGATATAATGCCTCACAACTTACGTACCTTCGGATTAAATACATATAATTTAATATTTTCTCATTTACATATATATATATTTAGCTTTGACTCACCTTACTCCAACATATCAAATTATTCGTTTCGGGATCTTCAACCAAACGCCAAAGTTTGGCCAAAAAGGCCGGCACCCCAGCCCCTGTCTCGCCGAACGTATGCATATTTTTCGATTTGCTTGAGATTTTCTCCAGGTTATCGCTTTTGGACTCCAACTTGTTGATTTGATTTGTTGTTTTGTCGATCAAGCAGCAACGGGTTTTTCTTTTTGTTGGCAATAAAAATTCAAAAACACACAGAGTTTTGAAAACAAATCACGATACCACTTCACTAACTTTGCAAGTTTTTGGTAAATTCAATACAATTTCGTTTAGCTTGGAACTGTAAAATAAAAAAGTTTTGTAATAATGGATATTTTTCTTTGTTTTTTTTTTTTTCGAAATTTTTCTTGTAATTTTTATTTCTTCTCCTCACATATGTTGTTGTTGTTGTTGTTATTCTTCTTGTTCTTCTTTAACTTCGTCTTCGCTTCTTTGTATTTTGTTATAACTGAAATTGAAATATACACAAAAAAAATTGAAATTTTGGTAAAATATTGATTTTTTTTTTACAAAAAATTCGGATTTTTTTATAAAAAATTATATTTTTGTGTAAAAAATCTTATTTTTTTGTAAAAAAAAATCGGATTTTTTTTTAAATTTTTTTTTTAAAAATCTGATTTTTGCATTTTTTTTTTTTGTGAAATATTGATTTTTTACAAAAATTTAAACTTTTTATAGCACAAAAATATCAAATTTTCATCATAAAATATTTATAAATGCTGGTAATTGAAAGAAATTTTCACTTTTTTTGTCCGGTTGAATGGAATTTTTTCGATTGATTGAAAAGGAGGACAACGGAATAGGAGATTTGGAGGACGGAGCAAGGCAAGGGGTTTCTACAGCGGTGAGTTTGTGTAGTAACAGCAAATAAATTGTTTGTTTGTTTCTTGGTTTCGTCGTCTCCCGTATTGGGTTGCTTGGCATCAAAAGTAAGTTTTCCTGTTATTGTTGTTGTTGCTGGCCGAATGGCAGTCAGGCAACGATGGCAATGGATTTCTGAGATACACGTCATTAAGTAATTTTCCTTCACATCTTTGTTTCTTGGGTTTTGGAAAATCTCATTTTTCTTTTTCTTTTTTTAATTTCTTTCTTCCTTTCATCTTTTTCACATCCTTCAAAATTTTGGAATTTCATCACAACCTCATGTTGGAGACGTCACAACACTCTAGACACGCCATTTGCAATACACAAGAATCATATTTTTAACAAAAAATAAAAAAATTCCACACAATTTTTTTTCAATGAACACTTTTCATCATAGGTATATATTTTTTTATTAAACAATTATCGGCCACCATTTTCTTCAACAGCAATTGGGATCTTGAATGCGTACATTGTCGGGCTGGCTCATTGACCAGCAAACAAATAAAGCAGGCAGGCAACAACCGACCAAACAACAATCAAATGCGTTGCGGCAGCAATGCAATTCAACCATTTTACAAACAACAACGACGACTGCGACGAAGTCTACGACGATACGACCGACATACAACAACAAAAAAGTAAAAAATCACAAAAATTAACACACAATCACTTTATTTTTTTTATTTTGTAGTAGTTTCTTCTCACTTTGTTTTTTTTTCTCTTCTGCTTCTTCTCCTGTTCAACGGCTTGGTTGGGTTGATGGTTATTATTATTATGGTTGGTTGCTTGTTATTGGTTAAACGGGCACATTCACACACACTACACACACACTAATGTCACCTGAATAATAAAAAAAAAATAAAAAACAACAACTCGACTTTGTGATGATGGTGTGCTTCTGCTGCTGCTGCCAGTAAGTAATCTCTTCAAAAAGAATGAATACGACGACCGAACGACCGACAAACACGAATGTGGTGGGACTAACCAACCAACCAACCAACCGATTGATAAATCAAGACCCCAAAGCAGACTGGCAAAGGGAAAATTTCATTTCATTCATTTGCAAATTTCACCCATTTTTGTTGCTTACATTCTTCAAATCACACTTTACACTATCTAAAACCGTTCAAGTCTCTAATTAACTGTATTCAGTTTAAGCCTGTAATTAAGAATAGATAATTTTTCAAAGCGTAATTTCTGTATTAAAGCTGGGAAAAAATTTTCTTGCTTCTTTCTATTCACACTTTAATGAAAACACTGTTGCTTAATTTGGGGCAGGTTGTGTGAACCAAACGCCACACAAACACCGTTGGCAAATTTGGTACGTAGTAGTAGCAAATGATGTTTTTGAAATTTTATACCACGTTCATATCGGCATTTGAATTACGTTACTTGGTCCATGGCACAAATACAGAAGGTAGAACAAAGCTACCACCTAAATACATATTTTTTTCTTTTTGTGTCCTTATTCTGTCAAAACATATACACATTTGTTTATGTGTGTGAATAGCTTTGAATAAAAAATACAATAATTTGGAATTATTTTAAATTTGGTTGAAAAATAAATTCATATTTTCTACGAATGGGTAACAAATTGTACAATTTTGTAATAAAACTGTATTGTCCTACAGGCTTTTCCAATATAATGCTAGGAACACAATTGGAGCGAACGACGAATTTCGCCCTACGCGGCGACAAAATGAGCCGCGAAAATTCGTCGTATGGAACACAATACCGACGAAATTATAAAACAGCTGATGAAGTTGTTTACTTTTTGCTCATTTGTTGACTACAATGAATTATACAAGAACACATAATTCTTTACGTTCTCTATTATAATTTCACTTATGTCCATCTTCTCTATTATAAATTCACTGATATCCATCTTCACTCAGGCGCAAGTACACAAATAAATAAACAAATTAATTATGTTTTTTTTATGCGAGTAACAGATAGTAGAGTGACCATAACAAATTTTAAAGTAAAAAGTAACTTTATTTACTAAAACACATAAAATTCGTACAAGTATGGCCACCTCGTACTGTTTTGTTCGCCGGTCGCCGGCGTATGAAATAGAAATAAAGCTAATTGAGTTCGCGGCGACCGACGAAATTTTCGCCGGTGCCGTGATTGTGTGCACTTCCATATACACATATGTGTTTTATTTTTGACGACGAACATACGCCGCGAAAAAATTCGTCGTTCGCTCCAATTGTGTTCCTAGCATAAGAACTTTGGAAAAGAAATTAAAAATAAACAAACCCAACTTGTTGACACTACAAGACTCCAGCACAGAGTTGCATTTTTCTAGTTTCTTTAAAGTTAATCAACCTTTCTTATTGAGCCATGGGTGAGGGTATAAAAAATTCCAAACTTTTCTGTAATGTTTTATATTTTCTGTAGTTTGTGATGTTTAAAGCCCATTTAGACTAGTCATTTAAATCGACCCTATTTCTGATTTGTTCTAGCTCCTCGAATTGCATCCATGTTCTCTTCTCAAGCTGGTAACCAATATTTCGATTAAACATTAAACACTTACTTAAAACAACTCCAAGCTTTGAGTTGATTGAATTTTATGTAGTAAATTTTCGTAAATTTTGGAGGATTAAATAAATATATAACTTAAATCGAAATAATAATATACAGGGTGAGATAAAAGAAGACTGCAACAAAGTCAAACGCCGTAATTTTTACATTTTTTTAATTTTATTGAATAAAAGCAAAAACTGTCGGAAATAGCATCAAATATTAGAATAAGTTTAGATTTGTTCGAATTGGTCACCTTTGACACGAATTATAACCTTCAAACGGCCAATGAAACCGTCACACGCTGCCCGAATGTTGTTCTGCGGTATTTTGGACCATTCCGGGCGAAGCGCTTGCATGAGGTGATCGACACTTTGGTATTTTTTAGGGCAAGCCTTGCTTTCCAAAATACTGCAGACAAAATAGACCAACGTATTGGTGTCCGGAGATTTTGGTGCGCATTGTTCGCTGGAAATGAAGCGAGGAACCTCATTTTGTAACCATTCTTGGGTGGCGCGTGCTGAGTGCGATGGTGCTGAGTCCTGTTGGAATGTCCCAGGTCTGCGGCCAAAATGTTTTGCGTGCCCAAGGCTTTATTACACCCTCCAGAATATTTTCGCTATAATATTTGGCATAATTCTGATGCCACGGTCGATTAATACGAGCGGAGAGCGACCATCGGCTGTTATGGCGACCCACACCATCACCATAGCCGGCGCTTGAGTTCTGGTGGCCTCTTTGGCAAGTAGACACCATCGTTTTGTTTACAAACTGCTGGACAACGAATGTTTTCCCGTAGGAGAAAACCAAATTCGGCAGTTCACCACTTTCGGCCAAGCGAAGCAACTCTTAGTCTATTTTTCTTTCTGTTGGGTGTAAGCTCTTGCATTTTTTGGAATTTCAATGGGTCATGGCTACCCCGAGCTCATTTTTCAATATTTGCCGAATGGAATATTGCGATATGTTCAGCTCACGAGCCATTTTTCGGCCACTACGACGCCAGTGGTGATCGATCAAGTCGCTTCTTTACTTTTCGAACCATTTCTGCTGATGTTGCTGTTTTCTTCCGTCCACTTCCTTGAAGTGCTCTAACGATAGCCACTTGTGTAATTTTCCAGCCAAATATAAAGAAATCACACTATCACGCTTGAATTCCATCACGAATAACTGTTTTTTCGGGAAAATTCTCACCAAAATGCTTTTGGACACTTGTACAATATAATGATCTGTCACTGGAATAATTTTAACACGAGTGGCTTAGAAATGACAGCAGTCTGAAGTTGGTTGCAGTTTTTATCTCACCCTGTAGTATAGATATAGCCCGAAAGATATTTATAGCGCATTAATAAAGTGTGATTTTTTTATTTTTTAACAATTGAGCACAGTCAAGAGCAACATTTGCATAAAATAATCTTCAAACATTAGATTTAATTGGCCGTACTATTAACTCAGATAAAGATTTCATGACTTCTTTGTGCTTTATTCCTAACAAAATCGCCCTTTATAAATTCGTAAGTAGTCTAACGCGTTGTTACCTTTCAAAGCCATCTGGCTACACACACGCACACCTTCGCCACAAACAGCTGATGCGTGTACGTTACGTCGCTGCACTGCCCGCCACTCAATAAATTGTATGTGGTTATTTACCGCCGCCGCCAAGTAACCTTAACAGAAAAAAGTAATCGATGTCAGTTTTTAAGAATATAGGAGAAAAAATGGCTGACTGTTTTAATATTTTTTTTTTGGTTTTCAATTGTTGAATTAATTTAATGGAACTGTTTATAATAAACAATAAAAGAAATGTTAGCATTTTTCAATTAAATGCCAATTGAAATAACGATTTGTGCCGAAGACGAGAACAGTAACGTTAACGAAGGGATTAAATGAATAGAACTTTGTAAGTGTTGAATACATACGAACAGTTCTTTTTTTTGTTGGGCTCTGTTGGTAGGAAAGGACTCAGACAACAATTTTAAGAATGGAAAAAGAAACCAAATGAAATGGAATTAAAACATAAGTGGGATGTAGAATTTGAAGTAATATATTATGTATTAAATGCCGTGCATGTTTTTGCTGTAATTATTGATTGTGTGTGTTTTTCAAGCAAACTAATTTCATGTAGAGTATGTAGCCAAGGTTCAGACGACGCGCCGGCTTTACATGTCATACATACATAATACATACAAGTTGAAGAGCATGCACTGAATTGTTTAATTGTGATTTGTTGTTGTTTTTTAAGAATACATATATTTTTTTAGCAAAATAGAGTTTGTGTGTTTAATGCTTTGTTTTCCCTCTCTCTCTTCCTTATAGCTTCGCGCAAAAATAATCCTTTTTAAAATTAGATTTTGAAAGTCCACAACTAAGCATTCAAAAATGATGAATAACCAGTTCAATGCTCCAACTTACCGGGAGTTCAGGGCCAATGCCACATGGCCAAATGGCTCAACATGTTGCGGTTTCACCACCTCAAAGCAGTGTTTTGAGTTCATTTTACAGCCATCCACATCAGCAGCAGCACCAGCAACAACAACAACACCATCATCCCCTCACACACAACAGACCCATGCACATCCTCATCACACGCAGCAACAGTTATCTGCTGCTGTGGCGGCTTCAGGTGGTTTGTATGCCGATCCCAGGCAATTACAGCTAACCTCCAGTCCTCTAGAGAAGGCTTTTTACACCACAACAGCGGCGGCAGCTGCCTTGGGAACACCACAGCAACGTTTCTATACCACAGCTCCGGGTTACAGCCTTGGCAACAAGTCCTCCCACCGGACATGCTCATCCCAATACAATATTGATTACAAATAATTTTGCATCGCATCAACACCAAGCACCAGTACAAAGTCCAGAGCAACAAAGACTAACAGCTGCCTTGAATCAAGGCAATATTCGAATTGTTACCTCCTCCTCAGCAGCGGCCGGAAATCCAATAGCATCAAATTTCCAGCAGCAGCCAGCTCCTCAGCATGTTTTCAATTTGAATAACTCGAAAACTTTACAACACATTTTCCCACAACATCTATTGCAACAGCACCAGCAGCAGCAACAACAACAAAATTTCCATCACACCCCAGAATTGTTGGCACAGCATCATTTCACCACAGCCCAACAACATTTTGCGGCAGCACCATCTGCTCAAAATGCCGCGGCAAACACAACTCCCCTTCATATGCCTCAATACTATGTAGCCAATGAATCGCCCAGCATTGGAAATTCCAAAATATTGGCAAATATACCCAGCACCACCACAAACCAAATGCAAGTCTCAGGTGGAGGTGGTGTTGGTGGCTCTAGTGCCGGGCCAGGAGCACAACTGCCCACAAATGCGGGAAATTCCTCAACCGTGGTATTGGATCGCATAAATATATGCATTAATAATTTATATACCGATACCACTTCCTCATCATCCAACTCCAATTCGTTGGCCTCCACTCCGGCCCAGCAACCCTCACCCATAATACCAGCCATACAACACAAGGCCATAATAGAAAGTGGTCCACCGCTGCCACCCTCCTCGGTCAGTTCCAGCGAAATCTATGAATCAAATGCTTTGGTGATTGATGAACCAGATTCGACTACTACGGCGACCACTCCTCACACCCCACCCACAACACCCGAAAATACTCCCCCCACAGCCTCTTTAAATTCAGCGAATAAATCCCATGGGAATAGCATCAGTACAACGACGAGTAACATAAGTAGTCCAAGTACTTCATCATCGACGTCGGTGTCAGCATCAAATCCTGGCATCCAGAGTTCCCATAACATTAGCACAACCAAGCAAATTTTGCAAATGTGGCCCAAAATATAGAAGAAATGGCCCAGGAGGAAAATGAGGAGAAGGAGGTGGTGGTGGTGGGCAGAGGGGCCAATAAAGTCACAGCCATAACATCGAGTAACACAGGAGCAATGGCCCCAGTCAATGCGCCTCTTACTCCACCCACACCACCCTCACCGGAAGTGAAAGTGGGAACTCATAACAACTGCACAATGTCCTTATCTGCAACTCCCCCCCAACAACACCGCCACCACCGCCGCCACCCTTTATAAATGGTGAAGATGTTTTTATCAAACGCCAAGATGGCCGTTTCTATTTGGGAACAGTCATTGATGGAGCCCAAAATCAATTTCTGATACGTTTCGATGATAAAACCGAACAATGGTGCAAGGCCGAGGAAATGCGTAAACTTGGCGGTGCTGGCAATGATTCCACGGCACATTCCAGCAATCAGGCAAAAGACCAGGCCATGTGTGTGGCATGCAAACAACAGCAGCCCGATTCAAAAGTGGAGATTTGTGAACGTTGTGGCCGGGGTTATCATCGGAAATGTACCCTGGAAACGTCAAAGAATAGTGGAGTATGGTTATGCAAACGTTGTGACAAGCCCATGAAGCTGGGCTCACACTCCGACGATGAAGAGGAGGAAGAGGAGGAGGTCGACGACGACGATATGGAAATTGAACCTTTACAGGTTGAGGAGGCTTGTCTTCAATTACCATATGATGTGGGTATTGCAATCGTGCCATTTAATTTCCCTTATGAATTGTTTATTTTTCTTTTCAGCTCAATTCCCTTAGCTGGGACAGCAAACATCGGGTGAATGAGCAACAAATCTATTGTTATTGTGGCAAAGCGGGAAAATTCGATCACAACATGTTGCAGTGCTGGCATTGTCTCAACTGGTATCACATTGAGTGTTCGCAGAAATTCAAGGGCAGCCTTCTACGAGGAGATGTGTAAGTTTCCACTACGCCATTTCGCGATCTAATAAACAAATTGTAATGTGTTTCGAATTTGCAGCTTCTTTGTATTCTGCTGTACGGTGTGCAACAAGGGTGAGGAGTATTTAAGGCGCCTGCAAATCGATTGGGTGGATCTGTTGCATTTGATTATCTACAATCTGTCCACCATGAAGAAACATCAAAATCACAAATATCATCATTTGCTAAAGGACATTTTCCCCTTTGCCATGGAGAAACGTATCAGTTTGCCCATAGCTAAGGAGGTAAGTAGTAGTAGTGTTAGTACCGTAAATGTATAAAACCCCATTTTAATTTCAACTTTATTTTCCAGTGGAAATCCATGCCCGAAAATGAATTTCTGGAAAAACTGAAAAACACTCTAAAGGATAATACCGAACGTTTTGTGGGTGGCAAGGAAATTAAAAGGGATCACTACTTCTTTGCCCTGCGAACAAATGGACCACCATTTGTACAACCCATAGCGTTGGAGAAAGATCAAATTATAAATGATGATTTCATTCTCAATGATTTGAAACTAAAACTTCTACCCGAGGCTCCAGAAATCAGGATGTTCAATTTAACAAATCCCATGAAATTCTCAATCAAACACCCACCTCAAAACCCAAAGCATTGGGGATAAATGTCCCAGGGATATTTATGCATTTGATGACACCTCCGATGATGAGATACCCATAAAAATATTTTGGATAAGGCCAAGAAGAAAACCAAAAGCCTGGAAAATTTAACAGAAATGGAGGAACAAAAGAGTGAACACAAAATGATCCCATCAACATCAACGCTGGAAAAACTCGATGTGGAAGATGATAATGCCAACGATGCAATACTCAGTATTAATAATAAACCGAAGATGCCAAGGCAACTATAGCCAGTTCGCCCAAAAGGAAGAAAGCAATGAAAACCGATAACAGAACAACGACTGCCCGAGAGAAAAGTTCGCGGAAACGCAAAGCCTTCTCCCTTACCAAAAGCTATGTGGAAAAACAGCGATTAATCGATTCATCTTCGGATGAAATTCTAGCAGCAGTTCGCGCTGTACCTCACTGGATTTGATAATACCGCCGCCAAAAAAACTTTTTGGGGCAAAATAATCCATTTCGTATGATCACGCCCAAGAAGAAAGTCCCCAATCATCATCGGCGACGGCCAGTGGCAGTGGTACGGCCGGTAGAAAATCCGTTAGTTTTGGTCTGGTCAATGGCTTGGATTTCAGTTCGAATTTGGCGGCGCTGAAAACGACGGGATTGTTTCCTAAACTAAGCTCCAAGGCTGCCGGTCAGCCGAGGACCGTGAGAACCATTAAACGAAGACTGAGTGCCAAAGATATAACAATTGGACCGAATCAAGAAGTGCGTCGAAGGCGTATACGCAGACAGTCAGCCAATGTTGAGGTGAGTCAGAGAGGGAGGGTATATATCATTTGATACGGCCGAAATGTGCCTCATCGCAATATCGGTATTAGACCAAATCTGTTTTAGGATATTTTGAGTCGATCTAACGATGCCCGTCCGTCTGTCGGGCTGGCTGGCTGGTGCGTCACATCTCAATATTTCATCAACACAAGATGTGTCATAAGATGGTAGAGATCGGATCATTTCTTCTGGGACTTCCCCCACAAAGGGTCAAAGTTTTGAATATCTAAAATGATCATAAAATCCGAAATAAGCATCCGATACTATTCAATTTACACATATCACAATGTTTTATTAATTCAAGGTCTGGGGTGAAGTTGAAATATATCGGTCCACTCGTTCTGGTACCTCCCCCACAAAAAGGGTCAAAGTTTTGAATAACCTAAACAATCATAAAATCTGAATAAGCATCCGATCCTCTTCAATTCACACATGTCACAATATTTTTTATTAACCCAAGGTCTGGGATGAAGTTGGAATATATCGGTCCACTCCTTCTGGTACCTCCCCCACAAAAGGGTCAAAATTTTGAATATCCATGGAGATCATAAAACACAAAATTAACATCCGATTCCATTCAGACTTGGCACATCTCAATATATCCATCAAAACAAGATATGTCATAAAGATGATACAGATAGGACCATTTCTTCTGCTACCTCCCCCACATAGGGTTAAAGATTTGGAAAACAAAACTCTCAAAGAAAGCGAAACTTCACACATCCAAATATTTTTCCTAACGCAAGATCCGTTGTGAATATGATATATATCTGTCAAATCCTTCAGGTACCCTTCATCCAAATGTTTGCGTGCCGAAGGCTTTAATACACTCTCCAGAATATTTTCGCGATAATATTCGGCATTTATTCTGAGCGGAGAGCTGTTATTCTGAGCGGAGAGCTGTTATGGTGGCCCACATCATCACCATGGCCGGCGCTTGAGTTCTGGTGGCCAACCGAGGTGCACATTTTCAGTTGATCTCTTTGGCATGTATACACGATCATTTTGTTTGTTTACAAACTGTTGGACAATGAATGTTTTCTCATCGAGAAAACCCAAATTCGGCAGTTCACCACTTTCCAAGCCAAGCGAAGCAACTCTTTAGCTCTTTTGAGTCTATTTTCTTTTCGTTGCGGTGTAAGTTCTGCACTTTTTTGGAATTTCAATGGCTTTACCTCGAGCTTATTTTTCAATATTTGCCGAATGGAATATTGCGATATGTTCATCTCACGAGCCATTTTTTCGGTCACTGCCACGAGGGTTTCGATCAAATCGCTTTTTTACTTTTCTTTCAAACCATTTTTCTGCTGATGTTGCTTTTTCTTCCGTCCGTCGGGCTACGCTACCAGTATCACGGTAACGAGCGATGGTATGAGACACAAAAGATTTATTCACATTTAAATACTGGAGTGCTCTAACCATGACCACTTGTGGATGGCTTAGAAATGACAGCAGTCTGAAGAGGTTGCAGTTTTTTTCATCTCAACCTGTACATCTGTCGACAAAACTGACT